GAGGACGAAGAACCTCCGGCTCCAGGTACATCTCTTTGATTCCACTGTTCTTCCTGCATTAACATATGCCTCAGAGACCTGGGCCCTACGCAAACAGGATGAGAACGCTATTCAGGTCTCCCAAAGAATAATAGAAAGAGCTATGCTTGGAATATCACATTTCACTCAAATGAGAGAAAGAATCCGAAGTTCCGACATTCATCGACGATCAAGAATCAGGGACGCTGTCTCATTTGCCAAGGTGTCAAAAATCAGATGGGCTGGTCACGTAATGAGATTTAAAGATGACCGCTGGACTAGAGCTGTTACTGTCTGGATTCCAGGAGATGTCAAAAGACCACGTGGCCGCCCACCTACCAGATGGTCAGACTTCTTCGTGAAGATCATGAACGATCGGTTTGAGGCTCTTTATGATCCCAGAGTGAACAGATGCCATTGGGCTACACTAGCACGCGACAGGGACAAATTGAGACATTACTGGCGCCCGCTCGAGCAAATCGATGACTAACGGGAAGTTAAGTGATTAAGTGACTAAGTGATTTCATCTTAGTTTTTTTCTAATTTCCCTCATGATTTTTCATTTGCTTATTAAAGATATGCTTAAATCCTATATATTTTTAAATTTTTTATATTTTCCATATTTTATCAATTTATAATTTATTTTATTGTGATAAGGGAAAATTATTTGTATGATTCAATGCCTTTCAAATTTATAACCTTTCTTTAACTATTTTGTGATAATTTCTGTCTTTCCCTCCATTGATATTCTCTATTAGGCCAAACAAAATGCTTACATTTCCTTTATTTGTGTATGAGTTTCTTTAGTTCTTTGTTTATTTGGGCTTGGTATACCTGGTTGTACTTAGGGCTCACCATTGAATGGTTGGGGGACCATAAGAGGTTGCCAGAGATCAAACCTGGAGTGGTTCCGTGCAAGGCCTTTCCAGCTATACTATCTCTCCAGACTTAGTTCTTTTTTTTCAATTTAATCACTGTGAGATGCAGTTACAAATCTTTCATGTTTGGATTTCAGCCATACAATGATTGAACACCCATCCATCCCTCCACCAATGCTCATTTTCCACCACCAATGTCCCAGTATCCCTCATCCTCACCCCAGCCCTCCCCCTCCCTTTTCCCCCATCCTCTCTCTTTCCTTTTGGGTATTATCGTTTGCAATACATATACCGAGAGGCTATCATGTTTGGTCCTTTATCTACTTTCAGCACACATCTCCCAATCCAAGTGATCCCTCCAACAATCATTGACTTAGTGATCCCTTCTCTATTCCAAATGCCTTCTCCCTCAGCTCATAAGACAGGCTACCAACTATGCAGCAATATACCTGGCCCTTGTCCCTCCTTTCTGACTCATTTCATTTAGTATGATGCTCTTCATGACCATCCATTTATAAGCAAATTGTATGACTTCATCTTTCCTAATAGTTGCATAGTATTCCATTGTGTAGAGTAGATGTCCCAAAGTCTCTTTAACCAGACATCTATTCTTGGGTACTCGGGTTGTTTCCAGATTCTGGCTATTGTGGACAGCCAGAATAAACAGCCTGCAATGAACATACAGGTGCAGCTGTCATTTCCACTGTGCTTTTTTGCACCCTCAGGATATATTCCCAGAAGTGGTATTGCGCAGCCCTAATTCCTTAAGCATACTTAACACAGCTTATTTTTATACAAGATGATCTAATTTCTATGTGACATAGAAAGAAACAAAGCAAGGGAGTAGATAATATCTAATGACAACAAATGCTTGGACTCTGTCTATAGTACCAGGAATACCAAGAGGTGGGAGAAAGGCATATTGGCAGGGGGAAGTAAGAGATGGACCAGGGGTGACACAGACCAGTGGTGGTGGTGGTAGTGGTGGGGTCTCTGGCACTTTAGTAATGAGGGAGGTACAGTAATTTTGTATATCAAAAGTTTAATGTTTACCTGTTGTAATCATGTTATCTCAACTACAAAAAAGTCTTTGTCTAGAAAGTTTACTATGTGCTTCCCTCAAGGTCTTCTTTTTCAATTTAATTCTCCCCTGTCCCATGTGTGGGACGTATCTTGTTTTTTTGACTGTATTATATGTAAAAATTGAAAACTAAATATTCAAAATAACATAGCAAAAATAGTAATCAGATCTCCCATCCCCTTGGTGTGTGCTGGGGAATCTCGTTTTTTTTTTTTTTTTACTCGTCAGTTTGTTGGTTCACATTTCTGAATTAATTTGGAGGCTGTGGCTATTGCATGAGTGGCTTGGTGGTCATTGGATAATAAGACAAGAGATTTCCTTAAATGCTTGGATACAGCCCTTTGCCAATAAGTTTTGTGCATGTTTGAAAACTTCTTCAAGAAGAGATCATCTGGTATATAAATAAGCTGTGTTAAATACGCTTAAAGTACTAAAGAGGGGCCAGAGAGAGAGATAGTGCATGAGGAAAGGCTCTTGCCTTGAATGGAGCCACTCTAGGTTTGATCTCTGGAACCCCCTGTGGTCCCCAGAGCCCACCAGGAGTGATCCCCAAGCACAGCTGTGTATACCCCTGCCTCTCAAAAAATAAAGAGCTAAAGAAAGTCATACACAAATAACTAAAGGAAGTTTGGCCAGGTAAATTCCAACCCTGTCTTCACTTTCACTTGAATTTCAAATTATCCCTAGGTGAAAATTAAAGTCTATTAGATCTTTCTAAACTTTTCCCTTCAAATAGCTATTGACAGGCACACAACCTTCCGTGTGTGTGTGTGTGTGTGTGTGTGTGTGTGTTTGTGCATAATTGTCTGAATTCTCAGGAATATGCTTTAGTTTTCCAGGGGCCTTGATGAGGACAACTTGGTGAGTCTTTCCTAAAGACTCAGTGTCAGTTTGGTATTTGTCCTGCAATGTTCTCAGGCAATGACAATGTTAAACAACTGATATTGACTATTTGCAACACACGACCTCCAGGAAAAGGTTGTTTGCAAACAGCCAGTACTACATCAGGTCAAGTAAGCAGGAACCATACCAATGGAGTTTTCCAGGGATGTGTCAGACAGGTCAAATAATGATACGTATTTGGGAATATGTTTTTGAAGCATTCCAAACAAGTTTTGGCTCCACCAGTGGCTGCTGGTGGAAGTGTAAATGATTATTATTACTCCATTGGTTCCTATGGAGTCCACTAGGTGGGGTGGTGCACGTGAAAACTCAAATGCACAGTCTGAATTCATTTTAAAGTCAAGTAAAAGAAGTCAAACTCGTTTCTCAAAAAATTAGAAATTGAGCTCCATTTGACCCAGCAATATCACTCTTGGGAATATATCCCAGAGAGGCAAAAATGTGTAGTTGAAGTGACATCTGCACAGATTGTTTGTTACAATCGCCAGAATCTGGAAGAAACCTGAGTGCCCAAGAACAGATGACTGGTTAAAGAAACTTTGGTACATCTACACAACGGAGTACTATGTAGCTGTTAGAAAAGATGAAGTCATGAAATTTACATACAAGTGGTACAACATGGAAAGTATCATGCTAAGCGAAATGAGTCAGAAAGAGAGGGATAGACATAGAAAGATTGCATTCATCTGGGGGATATAAAGTAACAAAATATGAGATTAATACCCAAGAATAGCTGAGATCAGCACCAGGAGGATTACTCCATAGCTTAGTGGCCAGTCGGGCATTCTAGAGGAAAGGGCAGCTCAGATAGAGAAGGGAGCACCAAATAAAGGGTGTTTGGAGGATCCTCCCAGGAGGGGAGATGCATGTCGAAAGTAGACTATGGACTGAACATGTTTGCCACTCAATGCCTCTTTTGCAGACCACAACACCCAAAAGGAGAGAGAGAACATAGGGGATTGCCCTGCCACAGAAGCAGGGGGGGGGATGAGGGGATGGGGGTGGGGAGGATATTATCCATGGTGGTGGAAAATGGGCACTGGTGGAGGGATGGGTATCTGATCATTGTATAATCGAAACCCAAGCACAAAAATTGTAAATCTACAACTGTACCTCATGGTGTTTCACTAATAAAAAAAAAAGAAGTCAAACTACCTGATCTTTATTTTAAAAATAAACTTATCACCCATATACATTATAAAAAGAAAAGAACTCCTAATCCCTCTGTGAGTATCAGAGGGACCAGTTTCAGGCTTTACTCTGAGATTATGGTGATGCACAAAAAAGATCATTATCAAATGCAACTTTTGGATCTTTCTTCACCTAATTTTTTGGTTATAGAAAAGCACAACCAAGATTTTCTTTTTGTGCCTGTTTCAGATATCAGCTTGGATTCAGAGAATCAATTTTTTTTAGGAATGTGGATACATAGTAATGTTTGTGATTATAGAGTTTATATATTTCTACCATAGTTTCTAAGATTTCATGATTATTATTTTTGACCTCAAAAAAAAGAGTAAATCAGTTATCAAAATTGTGAACAGGGCTTATTCAGAAAGAAAATTGCAGAAGAAATGTGCAGAGAGAGTGCATTCATGGCCTTAGTCTGGCTTCTCATCTAGTACCGTTCCCATGTTTGACTTTAGATGGATCACCTCTTTCTGAACTCCATGGGAAAAGCAAACCATGGGAGGACAGAACATGTAGTTTCTGATCTATGTGTGTGAATGGAACTTCATAGCCTTCTGACTTTATAGGACTCTGAATACTAGAGTTCAATGTTAGCATGTCATCCTATCAAATAGGTTCAGCATATGTTTTATGAATACATGACTATAATTTGAATGACAAAGCAGTTTCGCATCTATTGCAAAACTCTTGACACCCTTAGAGAAAGAAGCAAGTTTCTTGAATACAAATTTGCGCAAATGAAAGGGTATTTTCCATTTTAAGATGATCTTCCCAGTACAAAGCAAAGTTGACATCATTACCTGTGGTTCAGCTTTTAAAGTTTACACATCTTGCCTGGTGATGTCAAAATGCAAAGCAGGAAGTCTTGAATTGGTTTCCTAGTGAGCTTCACTTTTATATCTGAGGCTGCAACCAACTGTGCACTGGCCATGACTTTGAAGAACACGCTGGAGCTCGTGTGGCTGGGGCTTCTCCTTGGCTGTCTCTGTAAGGGTGAGGGGTCTCCTTTATCATCTAGTTTTGGAGAACTGTATGCCATTGTTTTCAAATTTAAATTTAAAAAATAGCCAGATTTATTATTAGCCACTGTACCTACAAGGCAAGTCAGCAAATTGGATAGTGACTAAAAGCCACAACTTAATTTCTTTATTAATTTATGGTACCTTTTTTTGTTTCCTGCAGTTGCAGAGAGCAAGGACCAAGTTTCTCAGCCTTCCACTGTGGTATCTTCCGAGGGAGCTGTGGTGGAAATCTCCTGCAACCACTCGATATCCAATGCTTACAACTTCTTCTGGTACCATTATTTCCCAGGACAAGCACTAAAACTCCTTATTAAGGGCACAAAAGCTTCTCAGCAGGGACGCTACAACATGACCTATGAACGATTTTCTTCATCTTTGCTCATCCCTCATGTGCAGGTGGCAGATGCTGCCTTTTACTACTGTGCTGTGGAGGACACAGAGGTGGGAGACTTGTGTAGAGTCAAACAGAAACAAGTTCACAGTCTTCCATGGAGTCAGAAAGAGATGAGCACCTACTACTTTCTCCCCTAATTTGGTGTTCCACAAGATTTTTCCATTTGGCACAGCTATCAGAAAAATTTAGTCTAGACACAATAGCTTAGCAAAGCTGCATGAAAAAATTTGCTGATGACATGATTAAAAATGCTACTGAAAGTCAAAGGATCTGCTTTACTTACTGTCAACAACTTTTCAGGATCCCAGTGTGTCATTAATTAGTTTACTCTCCAATCCTTGTTGACTGAAAACAGTCACATCTGTGAAGTAATTCAAAGAGAAATTTATTACTGAGGTTATTCAGAGCAATATAACCCAGTGTTTATATCCTTAATATGAAGGGGTGGCATTAGATTTTTCTGAGTACTGACCTCAAACTTCTAAAGTTTTGGCTTCAGTTACAAGCAGTTTGTATAAGTGAGTCACATTAACAGATAGAAACATAATTATATATAAGAATGATTTATTTTTAACTTTTTTAATGACTGAGGTCCTGTGATTTACAATACTGTTAATGATAGTTTCCTGTGCACATAATTGCAACACCACACCCTTCACCAGTGTACCCACCTTCTTCCCCCAAGGATCAAAGCAACCTTTTCTTTCAAAGTCCCTACCTCCTCCGCAGTTGTGTAGATCAGTTTTTCCATTGTATTGCCTTTGGTCTTTTGTTGATACCTTATTGTGTACAGGAAAGAGTCACAATTCTTGTAGAAGAGATAAAGTGAGATATCTACTTACACGAAAAGAATGTTGTACATATTATTAAAAGTGATCTCTTATTCTGCAGAACCAGGCATTGTCTGCTGTGGGAAGAGCAAAAGAACTAAAACTTGTAAAGATTTGATATGAGTATTAGGCTGTGTAACTTATCTCTGGTTCCTTTGTTCAGTAACTTGCAACATGACAAAGGGAAGCTGTTTGGGAGGAGAGTATGACTTTTGTGCATGGTCTTTTCACAGCAATAACTGTTTGATTATTTATTTTTTCTTTTCTTGATGACTTCAAGCCTCTACAACCACTGATTCTGTAGTTTTCCAGAGCAGAGACATCATTTATGAGTAATTTTTTTTCAGCTGACACCTGTAACATTAACTGAGTTTTCACATGTATGATTTGTATTTTTCTGTCTGAAATGCCTCTTCTTTCTCTGTGAGATAATAAATACACACACACTCACACACACACACACACACACACACACATATATATATTTGTCTCTGTCCCAGCAGTGAAAAATATATAAATTTGTCTCTGTCCCAGAGTGAAAAAAATTCTTTAAATTTCAAAAGTCTAAGAAAATTGGATTGGGCATGTGGTTCAGTACTTTTCTCATATGTGGGAGGACATGTTTGACTCTTTACACTGCAAAAAAGCATATACACAAAACATACACACACAGATACCTGAAGGGATGGGATAGATAGAATTAATACTGTAGCACTGTAGCACTGTCCTCCCGTTGTTCATCGATTTTCTCACCACTGTGAGACTTGTTGTTACTGTTTTTGGCATATTGAATACACCATGGGGAGCTTGCCAGGCTCTACCATGAGGGTGGGATACTCTTGGTAGTTTGCTGGGATCTCTGAGAGAGACAGAGGAATCGAACCCGGGTTGGCCGCATTAAAGGCAAACACCCTATTCATTGTGCTATCACTCCAGTCCAAAACTAATACTGCCATAAATTAATATATATTAAAAAATCAGAAAATTTTGTTCTAATATTTGGTTTGTGATCTCATTTCCTGATATAGCTCCCAAATCCATTAGAATTTTCTGGGTGATAGCCATATCTTTTATCCTAATATGGCACCTTTTGGTGTTGTTTTGGATGGGGGCTGGTCACTAGAAAGAACAGGGCATGATTAGTATCTCTCAATTTTTAGCATTCCCCATTCTCCAGAGAAGGAAGAGAGGATGCAAATGGAGGTAGTGATCACATATGCCTAAATGATGAAGACTCCACACAAATGCCAGAAATATTGTTTTCAAAGAGCTCTTGGGTTGGTGGAGTGCTGGGAAAATCATTTGTCATGAGAACATAGACCTCTTCTTATATACCTTGTTTGGTGCATTTTTCTACCTGTATGTTCATATGTATCCTTAATCATAACTTTTTGTTTTAGGTTTTAAAGATTTTATTTATTTTATTTTTTTTTATTTGAATAACTGTGAAATAGACCACTGCAAAGCTATTCATGTGTTGGGCCCCTATCCCTCTCAAGTAGAACTTGTTTCTTGAGCTTGAACATAAATGGATACAATCATGAAACCCATACTCACTCTCACTTTGCACTGGTCATGCTTTTAAGAGCCCCTAAGTTTCAACTGATTGACAAGGTTTATTTCTAGATTTATCAGGATGCTCAGATAGTTTCTAAATGAACCTTTGGAAGAAGAGACCTCTTCGAAGGCAATGCATTTAATGGTAAATGAAATAAAACAGTATTGAACTCCATTGATTGGTACCAAGCAGGTAAAATGGTTTCTTACTGCATAGATTTCTATTAGCTCAATGTACTTATTTAAAGGCCCTCCCGTCGATCATCGATTTGCTCGAGAAGGCCCAGTAACGTCTCCATTGGAGACTTTGTTGTTACTGTGTCTGGCATATCGAATACTCTCGGTAGCTTGCCGGGCTCTCCGAGAGGGGTGGAGGAATCGAACTGGAGCGATAGCACAGCGGGTAGGGCGTTCGCCTTACAAGCGGCCAACATGGCCGACCCGAGTTCGATTCCTCCGCCCCTCTCGGAGAGCCCGGCAAGCTACTGAGAGTATTCGATATGCCAGACACAGTAACAACAAAGTCTCCAATGGAGACGTTACTGGGCCCGCTCGAGCAAATCGATGATCAACGGGAGGGCCTTTACCTTTACCTTTACCTTTACTTATTTAAAGTTTTAATCACTCAAAATGTTTGTTGTGTAACTATGACTTATCAGTCATATGATTTATATCTTTGCTGTGGTTTTATTAAAATAGAAAATGCAGCATTTGAACCTCAGAGCTTCTTTCTAAAATATAGAGATACTGAACTAAAATGATATTACTCACGCAGTATTAAAAGGTGAAGTTCTAAAAGACAATTTAGACCATCTGAATGTGAGGTGCTTGAGTCCCTGTAATACATTACCTAATAAATTGCCGGCATTTTCTTGACAGCTTCTTGAAATAGGCCCTTCCTCTTCCCATATTATCTATTCAAACTCTAAGAAGCTGTGAATGAATAGCTATTATCCTTTGTATAGCAGCAGCACCCTGTCCTGTACCTGTGACTCCAGCACCTTTGGGATGAAAACAGCTTACATGCCTCTATACGGTTTTTTATTTTTTTGCTTTTCGGGTCACACCCAGCAATGCACAGGGGATACTCCTGACTTTGCACTCAGGAATTACTCCTGGCAGTGCTCAGGGCACCATATGGGATGCTGAGAATTGAACCCGGGTTGGCCGCGTGCAAGGCAATTGCCCTACCAGCTGAACTGTCGCTCCAGCCCCTCTGTATGTATTTTAAATCAGAGCTAATATTTCCTGAGTAGTTTCCCCATAGAAATATTTACATTTTATTAACTCTTTATTTTACATAAGCCACACTTTGCATTCCCCTCTCTACTGGAGGCTTTAAGAAGCTTCCAGTTGGCTTTTATTTTTCTAAAAATAGGAATCCTATTCACTCCAGACTGATTTCTCTAGACTGATCCAACATGCCAGTCTAGAGAAAAACTGAAGGTACGTTTTGGTTAAAGAATTTTACATTATGCCAGTTACAAATTGTTTCCCCAGGGAAGAATGTTCTTACTCTTACTCTCACTTCTTTATCACATTTGCCTTCCTGTTCTTTAGGGATGTTGATAATTCTTACATTGTTCCTCTGAACTCATCCTATAGTTCTCAGTTTTGCTGTTGATTTCTTTCAGTCTATTTCCCACCTTCAGCTGTTTCCTAGTGCTTTCTTCCTTCTTGTCTTGGAGTTCCATGATTTTTTGCTCAGCTTCTGTTATTATGCTGTTAAGAGCTTCTAGTGACTTTTAAAAAAATCACTTACCCTGTATTTTTTTTTCTTTTCGGGTCGCACCCGGCAATGCACAGGGGATACTTCTGACTTTGCACTCAGGAATTACTCCTGGCGGTGCTCAGGCACCATATGGGATTTTTTTTTTTTTGCTTTTCATCATTTTTCATGTCAACTCTCACACTTTCTTGTGCTTTGTTGGCTAGACCTGTGCCATTATTTCCTTGAACTCATTGAACATCCTCATCATGGTGTCACTACAGACACTGTCTGAGGATTTACTTTTCTGTTAATATCTTTAGTGATATTGCTTTTGCTCATTGAACTTGGTGGACTTCTATGTACTTTCTCCATTGGTTTTCTAGTGTTCTTATTTATTGTGCTGGGGGATGAGTCTTGTAGTTGACCCCCTTTCCAGCAATGTGCTGATTAATCTGGAGATTGATCTCTGTCTTCTCTGCCCATCCTGGGATGGTGGCATAGCAAGCTGAAGATCAGGCAGAAGATGTGATGTGGGCCCTTAATATGGTACAGGTTGAGTGTGGAGGCTGCTGGGACTCACCTGGTAGGGAGGTGTTCTGCCTTTTGTTCTGGAATAGGCCCAGTGATATCAGCCAGAGAAAAACATCACCTGGGATAGTGGAGCAGTAAGCATAAGGTCCTAAATGTTTTTCTTCTAATCAATTGTTCAATATCAAATCAATATTTTTTTCATCCTCTTAAACATCCTTTTTGTTTTTTGTCTCTTTGAGTGTATAAACCATTTAAATCTTGATGCACTCAGAGATTGAGATTTGAGATTCTTCCCGTTAGTCGTCGATTTGCTCGAGCGGGCGCCAGTAACGTCTCCATTTGTCCCTGTCGCGTGCTAGTGTACCCCAATGGCACTCTGTTCACTCTGGGATCATGAAGAGCCTCAAACCGATCGTTCATGATCTTCACGAAGAAGTCTGACCATCTGGTAGGTGGGCGGCCACGTGGTCTTTTGACATCCTGTGGAATCCAGTCAGTAACAGCTCTA